GAAATAAACATGGTTCAAAACAAAAGTTATCAAAACAGGTATAAAAATATCAGATGTAGTGATGGCTTGTTCAAAAGATGCAGATACACAGACATCTACAGCTCCTTCCATTTATGCCACCGGTGGAGACGTTAGCGTCAAAACATCGTGCATCATTACCGTCTTGTCTGATTTTAAAACAAAAAACAGTGCAGTATTGTTTTTTTTTTATGTACCACAAACCTCCCCCCCAAAAAAGAAATACACACAGACATTCTTTAACAAATACAGTTTGTACATAAAGCAGCCCAACCACTTATAATTACTTCAGAAAAGACCTTCCCTTCTCCTTTATGCATTTATTTAACTGCAGGACTGATGTTGAGTACATTTCTATTCATTTTGTTAACATGAATAGGAATGTGGCCCATGTTGATGAATTAAATAGCTGGAGTAAATATTATAATACCAACAAAATGTCCAAATAAAATAAAATCAAGTCATTGCATTCTTTCCAAGGCAGCTGTAGATGTTCCTCTTGTGTTCCAGTCCCTCCAGTGGATTAAACTGTTAATTCTTCACATTCTCTCCATAAAAACAAACCTGAGGACACCTCAGAGGGCGGTCAGATGCATGAAAGCCCCTCTGTGGGCTACTTCCAGAAGAGGATGTTCCAGAAAAGCAGCCAGCACGGGTACACCAGCAGGGCTATGAGCGGGTAGACCAGAGATCCGTACAGGAAGTGATCCAGGATGCCCTGCGAAATGACCGACAGGTACAACAACCAACCGTCTAGGAAGCTGACAGGCATTTCCTGCAGCTCTTGGAAGAAGAAGACCGAAAAGAGGAGCGTGAAGGCCGGGCTGAGGACGACCAGGATGAAAGCTGAGAGGAACCTGAGGAGAGAACAAGAGGAGGTTTTACATTTGTGTGACGGTTCAGAGCGACGACGGCTGAAGTGACCGTGTATAGGATGTATTACTTGGGCACGTGGGGTGTGACAAAGGCAGCTGCAGGCACCAGGGTGAGAGCCAAGATGAAGCCCAAGGAGAAGTTGATGAGGGCGGTGCAGCCCAGCAGCACAGCCAGGTACAGCAGCGCCACCAGTTTGAGCACTCTCCAGCCCTGCTCGGTGCCCTCGCCCGACAGCAGTCTGCAAAAAAACAAAAAGCAACAGCTCAAAGCTCCACAAGTTACACACTGTCTCAAACGGCACCGCAAGCTGCTGTGAATGCACAAACTCAATCATAGATAACAAGACTGAAACCTGAGGTTGTGGATCACCCCGTTCTTGTAAATGTGTAATTTGTAAATGTTTAAAAGTGTTTCTGTTTGGGTTGGAGGACTGATTTTTACACAGCGCTGAGTTTCACACAGTTTCCTGCTTCGAGTCTGTGGTCACATGAACCAAAAGAGCATTTCTATATTTGCAGATCTATTATGGAACCTCCTCGTTGAAAGATTTGGGTGATGTGATCTCTTAGAAACAAGATTATTGTGAAGGAAAAACTACTTTCCTTGTTTAGAGTTAATCTTTTAGAGAAGATATTGAACCCTGACCGACTTCCTGCCCTGTAACTTCTACAGATTCTTGACCTCACGTACACCACACGGTAGGAGGACAAGCAAGCTTTCCCTGCACCTCTCAAGGCCAGATGATACCCAGGCGCCGACTTGTCTTTCTCCCATAAATCTGGATGTTGCTTCCACTGAAGGAGGATATAAGACTAAGGATGTGAGAAGGATCTTTAGAATTGATGCTGGCATTGTGTGAACTGCTGCTCTGTTCGTGTCACTTCAACCTAAGTCCGGTGTGTCTCTCTGTGTCGGGCTCCTCATCCTACATCAACCTCTTCTAGAGTTTCCACAACAATTGTTAATATGAAAACTGGGTGACATGCACTTTAAACATCTAAGACCTCTTTTTGTTCTCTGAAATGCAGACACAACATCAACGTGTCACTAAAACACTAATTTGTTTCATGATTTTGACTCTTTGTGCAGGTGTAGGGTGAAGGCATGAAGGTATTTCTCCAAAGTCAAGTCACTAATTCACAAAGATGTCACTTCAACACATTTTATGTTTCACAGAAAAGGTCTTAAATCTGTAAAGATATCGGCTGTGTGCTGCCAACAAGAAGCTTCCAGGTTGTATATGCTATTGTAACCTAAGAGATTGTGGTAACACACAGACACTTAGGAGTTACAGCTTCAGTTACACCGAAGGCAGAATGTGCTCGCTGCCCTTCGAAAACAAGCAAAATGTACGCTGTGTGCTTCTTCTTTGCCACAGCAGTTATTTCAATAGATTAGGATGTGGGAGGAAGTCAGGGTTACCATCCCCACTTGGATCACTGCTTTTCTTCTTGCTACTCCCTTTCCTAGGGCTCTCTTTTTTTTTGTTTTAAATGATCATAGGATGTTATTTGTTTATCTTAGAGGATGAAAATTAGACTTAATGTGAATGTTCAACCTGTTTAAAATGTTTACTTTTGAGCCTGTTCTCAACGCTTTTCAACCACTCGTTTCAATGTGAAAGTGCTCCGAATGCTGCATCACACACAAAAATACACACATATAAAAAAAAAAAAACCCTGTGTCAGTAGCTACCTGTTTGTGTTATGAGGCAAAGCCAGGCCTGATGTGTAAACAGCAATCGCCGTCAGGACCACGGCCTCAGTCTCTGACACTGGGAACTGCGCGACAGCCATCTCCTGAAACTGAATCGGCAGCATGTACAGAGCGACTCCAGTCAGGTGGCTGATCACCAGAGGGGTCAACACTGACAGCGGTCCTGGACTGGACTGCAGGGAGGAAGCACAAATGTATTAAAGCGGTGTGTAAGCAGACTCAAGGAAACAGTTCTGACGTGTTTATTGTCGGATGTGTGTGACCGACCTGCTCGACGTCAGCGACTCCGTCCTCCGTTCTTGGTGGTGGAGCTGCAAGTTGAACCCACAGGTCTAAGGCCTGTAGCACAGTCAAGGGAAAAAACTGTAAAGAAGAATCAGTTGTACTCTACTTCTATAGCCATTTTATTTTTGAACTACTAAAACTGTTTTGCGGTTAAAGGATACACGAAGCAGGAGGATAACTGCAAGCAGGCCGAAGGCTGGCATGTAGTATCCAATAGAGACAAAGTGAGAGAGTGACGGCATGAGGTAGAAGAAGTAGGACTGGTGTAGGCGCTCCAGGAGGTTATTCAGCTTACGATACATTCCTTCCAGCAGCCTAGAGGATGTTTATTGGGAGGGGACAAAATCATGGTCAAAGTCAGTGACTACTAAGGAGCTTATGAGGGGTAAACCTCAAACAGAGACACAAGAAACACTGACCTGCCGATGGTGGTGGTGTCAGTCTTGTACTGGCGGAAACTGTTGATGCCCTTGATGGTGGCAGCCTCGATGTGGTAACGCAGAAACAGGCCGTGGTCTCCCCAGGGCCGCCCACTGGCCTGCTTCATCACCATCAGCATCATGGTCTGGACTGCATGGCTGTAGCCGGACACACTGTCCCAGTCGTTCCTCTGCAGCTGCACAGACATCCACAGAGAAAAAGCAAAATGACAGCAGTTCTACACCAACACAGCTTCAGGTTATCGTAGCTCTGTGCTACCCAAACATGTGGCAGAAGAACAAGTGTCTGTTTACAGGCCTTTACCTTGCCCTGGATGGTGCACAGGACCCCTATCTTCTGACAGAAGGCGTAGAAGAGGTTTGCTAAATCCAGGTTGGGCAGCTGACCGTTGAGGCCTTCCAGGACTAGGTCCAAACTGGTGACAACATCACTGCTGAGCTCCAGGGTCAGGGCTGCCTGGATTGAACCACCTCGGCCTTGTAAGGGAGACCAGTCCATACCTAGACGAACCATTCCAGTGTTTAGTCATCAGTTATGCAGGACGTTGGCTCAGTAGTGAATAATTGAATACTTTCAGGGATATTTGATGATGTGTGTTGTAGCTGGCTGCATGCAGGGGATCACCTGTAGTGTTGGTGTGGTGGTAGCCCTCCAGCCAGGCCTGCATTCCAATCAGATCATGCTCATTCACAAGGAAGATGATGTCTTTGGCCCAATAAACCTGATCTGTTGAAGAACGCCGCATCAGTTAAACAAATAAATGCAACTACAGTGTTAGTCTTCTGTTGTCTAACTGTGTTGAAGCAGCAGAGGGCAGTGGGAGCTGTACTCACTCCTGAAGTACTGAGCCAAGCCCAGTAGCAGTCCTACGGCCTGGTTGTTGTTATCACCCGGGGTGCAGGGAGCACTCAGCACCAGGGCTTCGGTCCGTGGAGCTCTTGGAGCCCGAAGGATCCCATATACATTTGTGCCTTTCACCAGCTGCCGAGAGGAAGGGACAGAAAAATAAAAAGAGACACATCATATCCATAAAAATAATGTAAAAACTAGTCAAACGTGTACATGTTTTCTATCACAAACGTACATATCTCTCTTTGTCTTCATCGGGGAATGGTAGCGTGCGAGAGAACCTCTGAGTGTACACTTCCATTCCTCGGGCCTGCATGGTCTTCACCAGCCACTCCACTGGCATCCCACTGCACAGGAACACACAGAAACACACAGAAACACAGGAACACACAGAAACACACAGGAACACACACAAAAACACAGGAACACACAGGAACACACAGAAACACACAGGAACACACGGTCAGACAGGCTGGTGGAATAAAGGCAAATACTGTTGGGCTTGAATGGAGGCTTCAGTCACACCAAAATAGGAGACCTTTTAAAGTCCTCAGCGTCACACACTTCTATTCTACACCTGTGAACTAAAACCTTACCCCACTTTCTTCTTATGAGCAGCAAACTCCCGGCCCGTGGCCACCGCCCGCTCTCCAGAAGGAAAGCGCTCCTCCACCATGGTAGAGCCCATGGCGTTCTCCGACATGTATGTCCGCAGGGTGAAAGGCTCAAACGCTAAGCCCATGAACCAGGTCACACCCGCTATGTAGCAGACCACACTGGGATGGAAGTGGGAGAATTCACAGGAGGTAAACATACAGGTGCACTTTGGGTGCAGCAGAATGAATGGAGAGAAATAATGGGAAATGCAAAGAGATAAAAACTCACCAGATTGGAGCATTGAGGCGGGTCAGCAGGTTGATCAAAGCCCGTCTTCTGTTTGGATCAGACAGCAGTCCCATGGTGTTGTTGTCGTTGTCCTCTAACGTTATCCTGAAGTGCGGATAGCCTGGACCCTGAAGACAAAACACACACTGCTACTATCAGCTCTACACACCGCGTTGATGCTGATGATGCAGACAGCCACAAGAGTGAATATAAAGATTTTTGTCATTATCTAAATGTCCGAAATTTAAGAATGTGCCAGTACAAAGGTTTTCATGCAGCTCGAGCTCAGATATCGTTTTCTGTCACCCAGTCATCCATTGACAGCTGGGGTTAGCTCGCTGCTAGCTACTTAGCAGGCTGTTTTTTCGAGACCGTAAATGTTTTAAACTCTCGTTTTCCGTCAAGTCGGGTTGATGCTAACAATGATACGGATGTGATTGTATTATTTTATAAAACATGTATGAAAACGTACCTCTATCCAGTGGTCACATCCACCTGCAGAGGAGGGGCTTGTTCACAGCAGCCGCTGCTAAACGTTCACTTCCTTGTTTCTGGGGGAACGCTAATGCGGCGGACCGACTTCCTCTCCAGACAATAACGTAACATAAAAGGAAATTAAATTAAATTAAATTAAGTTAAAATAAATTACATTTAAAAATGATACAAATATTAAGTAAAGTCAATAAATACTGAAAATACTGCATAAATTAGCTACTTCATTATTATTTAAAGAATATAAAGTAGCCCTTACTCAACACTTACCTGTTGACTTTTAACAATCCACTCTTTTCAGTTTAAGTTCTCAACATAATTTGGAAATTTCACACATATGCAGTAAGCAAACAGATACAGATATTAAGTAACAATATAAATGCTAATTACTCGTGTGTTCTCATTTTGTATGGTTGTAAATTGTGTGTATATATGGAACGTACTGTTTTTATTCCCTCACATTACTTCATTCCAGTCTTTTAATGTGGGCCCTTACCAAACATGCTGATATGAATCAGAATCAGAATCAGAATCAGAATCAGAATCAGCTTTAATGGCCAAGTATGTACACAACATACAATGAATTTGGTTTCGGCTGATGGTATGGGAATGAACAAGGAGAATCATAGAAATGGGAAAATAACGAATGAAAATAAAGCAAAATAACTATAGAAAGAAAAAAATAAAACAAAAAATATTTAAAAAATAAAGCAACAAACATATAAAAGAATGACCAGATCACACTGCAGGTACTGACTGTTTTTACTCACTGCACACCAGCAACCTGGATTCTAACCCACACAACAATCTGAAGCTTGACTCATTTTCATCCAATCTTTTATTTAGACTTTTTATTTAATCTTATTTTACTTCCAGTTGTTCTTGTTGAAGTTAATTCATGTTTGAAAATGTAAATGCTCTTATTAATGCTTTTATTTTATTAATTTCCCCTTTTAATACGTTCCCTTCTCCTACATCTTTAATTTTCTCACTAGACTACATTTTAAATGAGGTTTCCACATCCCTACACAGTCCCAGTTTAAATAATGGATGAAGAAATGAATGAATTATCTTCTGCATTTTATATTTCTGATATTAATATTGCTTAAATTACCAAACAGCTTCACAAATAATTGCAAACTTTTTTTTTTTTATTCCTGTCATTGTTAGTCATTCACAAATGAACAAGCAACAAAAGAAAAAAATGCAGGATTCTCATATTTATTCATCGGCTCACCACACATATATAAAAGTAGACAGCAATTGCTATGAATGCATAAAAAACACGATTCTCCGTCATTCTTCTCCGTTTGAAGTCCAAAAACATTTTCAGACTGCGCTCAGAGCCACAGTCCGGATGTTCCCAACCTCCTCGCCACATCACTCCCCGGTGAGCACCGACCCTTCTTGAAGATGTTGCCTCACCACTTCGTCCAGCACCTTGCTCACACCTTTACAAGCAGTCATTGCAGCTTCGATCAGAGTCTCGAGGTGATCCTGATGCAGCCTGGCGTCCATCTGCAGCAGAGCGATCTGTCCTCCCCTCGGCAGCAGCGCTAAAGCCAGAGAGCTCACTCCTCCACTTTCCTCCGCATAGCAAAGGTCGGCGAGGGGCGTCTCGTCCACGAAGCCCACCGTGCAGGCGCACACGTAGTCCCGCATCGGGATGCCGGCGTCGATCACCGCCAGGGTGGCAGCGTTCACACACGTGCTGTAGTTCCCTCCGTCTGACTGCAGAATCTGTTGAAAGAATAAATGTTTTTGTGAGTAAATAGAAAACTCTGGTTGTAAAAAATATGTTTCCCAGGACTGTGACTGAACCCGACTAACTCCACAGTCACCTTGACGTAGATGTCTATCTGAGAGCGCGGGTAGAGCTGCGTCATGACAGCAGCTTCAAACGTCTGCTTGAGGTGCAGGCTCATCTCGGTGGATTTGCGATCTCCGTGCGGCCTCCTCTTCCTCTCCGCTGTGCTGAACGTGGCCATGCTGTACTGGCAGTTGATGAGCGCTCGATCGTGGAGAGTCCGACCTCGTGAACCTCGCATCTGGATGGCACAGAAACAAACATCTTTGAATGAAACCGCAGCTCCTACAACAGTTTTTCCTGAGATTTAATTAAAGCTGGGTGAGCTGTGCTTTAAGACTGATGACATCCTGCTCACTGCATCAGTGAGTTAAAACAAATACAAACTGATCAAAGTTAACTGCTATTAAATCAATTTGACTACAAGTGATTTTATCTATACTGTCATTTTTACTGTTAATCTTATAAACAGTATGAGATTGATTTCAACTTTATCGTCCAGCCCTACGTTTATTTACAACATATTTGGCAGCTGGCCTGATGTGGACGTTAATTAGGAGCTGGTGATCATCATTGTTTGATATTGTACAAAACAAATCAATGCATTTCACACCTTCATATTTATCTATGAAGACAGAGGTGCCTGATTTAGAAAACCTTAATTTGGGTATTTTATTGTGCCTTTGCTCTGAGTGAATTATTAATTAGTTTGTTCTGAGATTCAGCTTCATAACAGATATTTTACGTTTCCCAAGACAACAGCAGTATCCTGCCATTAACTCTGAAAGACATTTCCTTGGGAATGCTTCCTCCTCTAGACGAACACTGATGCACAGGATAAAACCAAACAATTAAAGCTGGAAGAAATATTCTTTTTTTTGCTTGATTAAAAGCAGCAAAACTACAGTTGACAGTTTCACTGCTCATCAGTTTTGTTTTTTTTAATTATTATTTTCAACCACAATTCAAAAGCAATATCTTATTTCACTAAAGTATAATTTAGCAAATTTTTATTTATTACTTTTTTCAGTTTCTAGTTATTTGAGTGACTATTGTGAATTTTGCCTTTTCTTTAATGAAAGGGTCTGAATACATTTCAGGACGACTGCATGTTGATGATGATGACGTCGTTTTAATCAGTTTACATACTGAGGATTAATGAAGTCCTAATTATCTTAACATTAAAAAAATACACACTAATATGCAGATTGTAGTTTGTATTCTGTGTCTCTGAGTTGATGTGGAGTAGAAGTGTGGACTATCTCTCAATGTGACCCAATTACAATAACAGTAAAAGCATCACTAACACTTTATTTACAGCAGTTACCCAATAAAACAGATCATTTTCTGTTGGTTGTCTAAACTTCTTGCTGCTGTGCTCAAATGTGAATCCTTGCTGCGTGTTTTATCCCCAGTCCTCCGGGTTGTAAATAACAGACCGCTGCATCCCCGGTGCACCCACCTCATGCGGACCGTAGACCACCGCCAGAGCTTTGGTGTTGCCCTGCTCCAGATACGCAGAACCGTCCGCCTGAGCGAACACTCCCATCCGGGCCTGGACCTTCCGCAGCTCGGTGGCTTTTCTTCCATCCAGGCGGTATCCCTGATCAGACAGCAGCTCCAGACCCGCCATGTTTCCGCAAACTTCGAATGACGTCCCACGTGTCTCCCGCGGCACTACATTACCCATAAAGCCCCTCACCGGCAGCGCTACGGCAAGAGCGAAGGTACAAACATGCTCGGCGTGGATTCAGAGTGACGAATGAAACGGCAGGTTTGTAGCTGCTAGCATCTTTAAAAACACTGAAAGAAGTTTGTGAGTCGCAATTACATCATCATTCAGGATGATAAATGTATATGTAGAAGATTGAAATGTTTCCTAATATAAAACTGAGGGAAATGCAGCAAATTTAACCTGCTAATCTCTGCTTTATTCCGCTATTAAACAGCAAAAAATAGAAATTGTGCTTATTATGTATATTTGAAATTTTACTCAGTTATTTGGTTTTATGTTTTTGAACCTAAATTTCTCTCTTTTTTTATTTGCATTTGTTCTGTTTCTGTTTTTGGGAACGATATGCACTTTTTTTTCTTATTTTTTGCACTGCTATCACCTCAATAAGGTGTCACTGAATTGCACTACCGCCTGTTTTATTTATACTGTATTTTGATTAGTTTTTGTTTTTTTAATGTATGGCACTAATACAAAGGTGAGAGAGAAATGTGTTTTTGGTTCCTCTGTATGTTCTGGATATATAGAGAAACTGACACTAAAAATATTCTATTTTATAAACATGGAAAAACCCTAAAAGAACTCGCAGCAGCATTTCTAACAAGTTCCTTTTTTAATTTATATGTTGGCAAATTGTTGCTCACTGTGTAAATATGACTAAAAAAGGTTAATGCATGACTATTTAATGCCCAGTGAGTTACCCCAGTGCCTGCTCCAGAAGCCCTGGACAGTTATAGCAGTTACTTTGTTGGGATTTTTCATGTTTTTGAACCAGATCACAAATTTCTGCATTTTCACATCGATGCTGATTAAACAAAAAAGCTTGTTCTTATTTAGCTGACTTCCACGGCCGTGTGTTTTCTTGAGACAACTGCTAATTTGTGAAGACTTTCAGCGTCAGACAACAGGATCCACGACGTCCAAAATGTGCCATAAATGCCTCTTTATCGTAAAAAGTGCACTATATTAATATGCAGCTACCTCTGTGCAATATACACGGCCATATATATATATTAAATATTATGTTGTGTATAGTTGTTTACAAAGCTTTGATATTTTTTTGCACTGAAAGGCCTCCACCTTACTGTTCGTTGTACTCGTTGCAACGACAATAAAACTAATATGAATCTGAATCTGAATCAATAATAAAATGAAACGCGTGATTCAAACTCTGTGCGAGTGTTTCAGGAGGCAGAGCAGCCCCCCGACGGAAGAACAGCTGCAAAACTTCAACACTTTTAAAAATAAAATTTATTAGCATCTCTAATGTGTATAAATAAAAACATATATGAAACAATGCATATACGTATAATGTAATGAGCTTAACGATAACAGGGTTACATGTGATACAAAGGAGCAGTCTTTATTTTAGCCAGTGTATTGTGAGGAAAACTGTACTTTGAAATCAAGCCTTCAAATATGCATACCTATAAGTTGCAAATCTACATTCTTTGACAAGAATGAAACGAAAAACCTTCCAGGGGGGCTGGCAACAGGGAGAATGTGGCAAAGATGCAGTTTTGGGTTCCTGTTTCTTACAACTTTAGAACATCTTTCATGTAATACATTATAAATTCTGTACTTTCACTAACAATGTCGGGCCGCCGAGCCTCGACACTATTCACACTGATCTTCTCAGTTTTACATTATACGCAATAAGAATCCTAGCTGGATTTCACTTCACTCTTTTCCATTTACTGAAGTCACGTTGTTCCACAGACTCGTAACAAGAGGTCGTTATAAGCAGACCTGAAATCTAGGGACAATAATGACCATAATGTTAGACACAGCGACAAAAAAATAGCAAGATAGCAATCAACAAATTTTACATGAAACTAACAGATCCCAAAAGGATCAAACAAACATAATGAATTTTGCATTTTACTAATGTAACAAGGTTCGTCATTTTACTGCAATGGCTTGCTGTGCCTCGGGTCAGAACGCCCAAGAGGACAGTGGATGGACGCTGTCGTATGGATCTGAGGACTTGGCTCTCTAAGGCAAAAAAAGCAAAGAAAGGAAGGGACCTCTCTTCTTGTGTCACCCAGTGTTCTCTATTTGGTCATGCTTTAAACACTCATTGTGTTCAAATGTCTTACAAAACGGACAGATATGCACATAAGACAAAATCTACCTTTGTACGCCGGCCAGAACTTTACAATAGCCAATGTGATGTGGGCTTCAAATGTACACTGCTGACGACTAGAGGGCAATACGCCGCAACCCACCGTGCTGCGTGTCAAACCACCACAGACGAGTCGGGTTACAGTGACTATTGTTGGCCACTGTCTCAGTTTTTCCTCATAAATCAAAAATGTCACATTTTAATGGGGGGAGTAACAACATCCAAGACTAACTGCTTCAAAGTAGAAAACAAAACAGTGGGTAGGTACAAAAACAAAAAACCAAAAAAAAAAAAAAGAAGAAGAAGAAGAGAAAAGTGATGTGTCTGCTTTTAATACGCAGGTGTATGTGACAGTGAGAGGTTATCGGCACCCAAGGATCATGGCGACCTCATTCAGCCTTGTGGAATGAAGGGACTATGTAGTAGATCTGAAAAAGATGGTCTCTGCTCCATCCCAAGTCTTTAGAAGAGTGCAAAGATCCCCTTATTTTTCCCTGATATATCCATGTACTCGCGTCCTAGAACTCTGCAAACTCCTTGGCGCATTTTTCCGTTAAAGAAACGCGGATCTCCTCCTCCTCGTAGTCGTCGAAGTTGCTGGTGTCCCCCGGGCCTCTGCACTTTGGTATGAATGGAGCTTCAACCTGCAGCAACGACAGAAAGACGCGTTTGACTCAGCAGTATTATCATAATGTCTAGACTGGCTGTCAGAAGAGAACACAAGACAGGACAGGACGGGGAAGTTGTCAAAAAAGAGTGACTGGAAACCGGGAAGAACCTATGAAAGAGACAAACTGTGTCTATACAAAGGCTTTATTGTAGCATATTGTATGTAGGCAGCATCATTTTCTCTGTCAGTATTAAATGCCTTAAATGAAGTGCTTGTCAGTCAGAGTCTGAAAACCTCTTCCTCCTTTGTGTAACTTTCAAAAAAAAAAACCCTCTGCTTTCTTCTTGCAGCAGCTCACCAGGTGTAGAGAGGAGAGGCGGTACACAGAATCTGAATTTCTCCCTCAAGCTTCATTCCTATAATTGGGTCAATCACTGTTCATGGGTACAACACCATGAACTACTTTGAGGAGAGACTGACAATTACGGCTAAAGCTCCCCTCGAGGCTTTCCATCCCATCTTCCGAGTGCTGCCATTTGAGACAGACAGACAAGGTGAGACGACACGTCGTACAAACCGGGTCCACCTCGAGCATGGCCCGGCCTTAAAAGGTGCCTAATGACACGGAACTGCTCGACCAATTAAAACCGTGTGACTGGCAGAGCACCTGAAGCAGCTATGTGGGTCTCTGTGCTGTCTCTCTGAAGTGCTGCACTCAGCCTCTGCTCTGGTGAAATAAACGTCAGGTTATGAGTTTTTGTTCTTCTCCAGGCAGCATTACACCACCCAGGTTTTAAATGATGCACCAAGAATGCAGTGAAGTGCATATTTTTGAGGCTAAAACGAGACACACGTGTAAGCCTTCAGTGTGCTGCTTCTTCAGAGTTGTCTGTCCACCTACTTCAGCTCTTGTATTTACTAAACATGTGTTTGGTTGTCAGAGAAAAGAAAAGGTTTGAGCCACCTGAATGTCCCCAAAGTCTGAACGTGATTAAAAAAAAAAAAAATTATGGACATATCAGATATAATCCAACATAATTCATGGAGATATCAACTTCTTTTTTTTTTTTTTAATTTAATGTTTTGAAAAATATGGTGAAAAATAAAACCAAAAGAGCAAAAACAGGTTTGAAATCACCTTTAACCCTCAAATATGACACTACACACATCAGGCAAAAAGAAAAAAAGCTGTAACTATACATGTAATGCCAAACAACCTTCTTGATTTATGCGTCAAATTATTGTTTTTTTTTAAAAGATAGTTTCTCCATCACAAAGCACCATTTGAATAGTCAGATGGAAGCAAAAACTTTGCAACAAGCAGTTATTTTAAAGCAAGGAGGGACACTAAAGAGTAGAAGAATATAATTGGTAAATCAAAATGAATTATTAATTATATCCTGTAACAAATCAAAGCCTGTGAAGCAGGTTTAATAAAAGCACGAGTGTATCTTAACAAAATCTAACAAAATCAACAGATCAATGAGGTCCCAGGCCCTGCTAAACAACGCCTTTGATTAATCGAAACACTCCATTATCACCGTCATCCCTGCAAATCAGCATGTGGTGCTAATACCTCAGAGTGAAGCTGGGGGCTGGTTGTGAAAAATATTGTGCACCTGCAATTACTGATCATCACGCAAGACCACAAAACGAAACTGATTGAGCCTAATTTTTTAGAAAAGATCGTATAAAATAATTGTGTTGGAAATTTTACAACTAGCAAAAAATAAAAAAATCAATGGGAACAAATCAATATGCAATTAACTTGGTTTTCAGAGGGCTAATACAGCTCGGTGTCACCATCAAATGTGCTCGGTGTCTTGCCTTTCTCTCGTAGATTGCGATCCAGTCTGTTGTGGCGAACCATTTGTGGCCCTTGATGTCGTTGACGCCGTTCTTCAGGTTGCCGTAACGTTTGGTCAGATCCACCTGCAGCAGGTTTCTCAACAGGTCCTTCAAGTCGGAGCTGAAGTGCGACGGGAATCGTACCTAGAAAGAGCAAAAGGTTTCGGAATTTATTCTCCAAATTAAGCGTTTTTCTTACACGCACAGCAAACATATTCTAAAATATCAGCAGAGCTACGATTCAGCTCATCGTGTAGAAACATCCCAAAACAAATGCCGTCTTACCTTTCCAGACACAATCTTCTCATAGATCTGAATAGGCTGATCTGCAAAGAAAGGAGGGTAGCCAGCTGCCATTTCATAGATGAGGACTCCGAGGGCCCACCAGTCCACGGCTTTGTTATAGCCCTGAAACAGACCAAAAAAGCATCAGTACAACTGGAAACAGCAAAAAAAAGGATTCTACCACTCATAAAACTCATACGTCATATTTGAAATTTACTGACATTTGATTTCCTCGTTGTTCTGACGGATCATTGTTGAGACATCTTTTAGAGTTCACCTCCACTTTTCTAGTACTGCTGGTCATATTCTACACTCTTAAACTCCAACTGCAGTAGAAGGAGTTACGACCAAAATGCAGCATGTTCCTTTCATTTGTAAAAGGTGACATTTGTACCTCTTCAACAACAAAAACTGCAAAAACACCTCACGTTTACTAAAGCTGAGTTTTGAGAATTTTCATTCAAACTGTTTTTATCACTCAAAACCCTTAACATCAGACAACTTTTCATCACATTATCAGGTAGTATCACTGTTACTACTGTAAGACTAGGTCGTATTGTGCCTCCTCTCAACTTCCAGCAAGAAAAAGGACCAGAAAAGATCAACACCACTCAGAGAACAACCCTGATCTCAGTGATAACAGAGTAGAACACCCAGTTTTATCAGTAGGTAGGCAGGTTTTGTTATCTACTGATCTAGTAGAAAAAATTCCAATAGAAGGCAACTTTTGAACCCTCCTAATCCCCCGAGCTCTCTTCATCGAGTGACTGTTCAGCCTCTACGTCTTCTTCGCCTCCTCCAGAAAGCAGCTCGGCGGTTAAGGCTTTGGTCAGGAGGTCGGGAGTTCAAGCCCAGCACCTCCGAGCTACCACTGCTCTGTCCGGCCCCTCAGGAAGGCCTTTAACCCTCTGTTCTGTGGCTGACATTGTGCTCTGACCCCGGCCTTCTAACATGCTGGGATATGCAAGACTTGCTTTGCTCTGTGCAATGACAGTAAAGTTGAATCATCACCTAGAGTAGAGTTTCAACAGTTACTCCTTAGGGTCCATGAACCATAAATCAAGCCTTCAAAAGTCGTTCTTTTGCTGCCATTACACTGTAAATCAGCATTTGCTTCATAATGGTTTATTACCACAGCGAACATATTTCTACAATAATTAGGCAGCTACTAAAGTAAGAAAAAAAACCATCAATGTGCAGTTTCAGAATTTTTGGGTGCACTTGAAGGTGAAGAGCAAAAAAAGATCTGACATTAGTGCATTGAAAACATCAGGACAATATCAAATCCATACTTTGCTGAGGATGATTTCGGGCGCCAGGTACTCCGGTGTCCCACACAACGTCCAGGTCCTGCCTTTTACCCGCTTGGCAAATCCAAAGTCTGTCACCTGGAAGTGAGGAGTAAACGCATCAGACAGTGTGGCCACGCAAGAGGCGGCAGCGTCACGCGTGCAATGTTTCTGCATCACCTGAATGTAGCCGTGGTGGTCAATGAGAAGATTCTCAGGCTTAAGATCTCTGTATATGAGATCTAGTGAGTGGAGGTATTCAAATGTCAGCACTATCTGGGCCGCATAAAACCGCGCGTGTGGTTCACTGGAAAGGAAGAAGAAAGCATTGTGTTCAGAGTCGTAAAAGCATGTGCAAGCGATTTCCAAGCATGATCACTAGACATAGAGAAACCACAGGAAATAAACCAAGACAGCACCGCGCAGCAACACGCTCTAGGTTTTACATACATACACAACAGCCGACGGTGGCTATCGATTAGCATGTACCTGAACCTTCCGATTCGTCTTAGGTGTGAGAACATCTCTCCTCCTGGAACATACTCCATTACCATGTACAAATTGGAGTTGTCCTAAAATAAAAAATCACATTTAATTAAAGAAGATAAATAAGGAAAAGACACCTAAACTCTTGCCGATACCCAAATAACGTTTGAAAGAAATTAAAAAACACACTGTACCTTAAATGCGTACTCGAGTTTGACGAGAAAGGGGAAGCTCACTGCCTGTAATATCCTCTTCTCATTTAATGTGTGTTCTATTTGCTTGAGTTTCACCACCTGACAGATAAAGAGATAAGATGACCTTGTTGGGCAAATCTCACGTACATTAGCAACAGAGATAACTAAACACCGAGAGCAAAGGCAGCTTTTAGTCATTCATTATTTATTTTTACTTGCGTCCCCTCGTGACCCTGTAATACAACAATAACACAATGTAATGCCATTTGTAAGCAGATAAGCAGGCATTTGGTTTTGGATGCACTAAGTGGCACCTAACATTTATTGTCCCCGCCGCTCATGTCAACGCTATTATGTATCTGAAAATGTCCCACGAGGCCTGATAAATGCTGCCACTGACCTTCTGCTTGTCCAGTATTTTCATGGCAAAGTATTGCTCTGTTCCTTTGTGTTTCACCAGCATGACCCTCCCAAATGAGCCGGTACCCAGGGTCTTTAATCTGTCAAAGTCGTCTAGGCACGTTGTGCTCTGCGGAAACAGCGTCACGTTAGTCCAACGTTGTGCACAAAAACCGCAAATGTGCAGTTCAGCTTTTCAGCGTTCTGACCTGTGGTGGGCATTCCCATTTCCGTAAGAAATCTTCTTTGGCTTTGGCTAGAAACTCTTTCACTAAAAAAAAAATAAAGAAAAGAGCAAAGACAGACACAGTTAGCACGCGCTACTTCTTTGGCAAAACTTGGATTAAAAAGGTACAAAACACTTATTCAGGTTTTAGATGGAACTGGCAAAAGGACCAAATGCTATTCGTACTACAGGGGGAAAGGAAGAAACGTGGGAAATGGAAATTAAATTGTAAGTCAATGGAGAAGAATACGGGCAAAGTCAACTCTCATCTGGATATGAATTAAATGTCATATTAAGGATATCACATACTTAGTCTAAAGAAAAGGCAAAACACAAACACATGACATCCACATCCAGGACAGGCAGACGAGTGATGCATGCCAAGAAACTCAGTATGTTTTCTGTTATTTAGTAGCCTTATTCAAAGGGGAAAGGGGGACACAGCACTCAGAAATAACAGGGGAGGTTTCTCTGAGCATCTTGTGCATCACTTACAACACTTTGTGGGAAGGCTATTAAACACAGCATAGAAATGGTAAGCAAAGACAAACCAATGTATGGGGAAACACAGCAGACGGCAGATATCCAGATTGAGAGAATGCAGATAACAAAAGAAACACTCGACTTGTTATCAGAGCACACAACAAAAGCAAGCACATCTAGCAAAGTTTTGAGACCAATGCCGCTCTGCCATTCTGGCCTTCTTTTGGAGGAATCAGCATACCAAAAGTCTCTATTGATCACCAAGGTTTTGCAGGAACAATCACCCACATGGATGGGATGATACGGAAGAGAAGACAGAGAGAAATAGAGAGTTCATGTACGTAACAACAAGTATAACACATCAACAACCATGAAGCATATGCAGTGAAGAAAAAGCAACAGGAATGAAAACAGAGTTGACAATCGTCTGAGGAATTTAAGCGGAGACTGACTGTCTACCGAGGTGCTCAAAGAACAGGTGTACCAAAATGCCATGTAGTAGAAACTCGGTCATGCATATTAAGTTGGATTGAAAAGATAAAATTCCATCGCAAAGAGATACGAGAAGGTTTAAAACTCCGTAAAGCTTATAATGACTGCTTATCCCGGCACCTTAGTCTGACTTCTTTCCCTAAAAAGCAACTTTGACATTATCGCCAGCATGCTGAGAATAACAGAGAAGAGACAATTAGTAGTGGAACGGAAAAGATTCAGCAAGAACTAGTCCGATAAGGAAGTACTTGTGGATGTTCAAGTGAAGATATCAAACATTCTTTAGTTCCAGCTTCTCAGTTGTGAAGATTGGCAGCTTTCCTTTGTCGTGTAAGACTTATATTTTATCAATTATTTGTCAATATAACATCAGAAAAAAAAAAGAAATCCATCACAACTTTCCGGAGCTCAACATAACACCTTCAACTGTACAAAACCCCAAATTATTTCAGTTGTAATGACAACAAAAACAGCAAATCTTCACATTTGAGACGCTGGAACCACCAAATGTTTAGCAGTAACGTGACTTAAAATATTACTGAATCATAAAGTGGTTGTCAGTTAATTTCCTGACGATCTGTTCATCGGCTGTTTTCAGCTCTATTCTGACATTTTATTACACAATTACCTTAGAAAAAGAAAATGCAATGAAAATGCAAACCTTTGAGTAACAAAAACAGAAACAGGTAAAAGATAGAGGCGACTTTTTGTGAGTACAAACTTTTGTGCAACATTTTTATACGCAGATGGAAAAAATTAAGAGCTCCATGGTCAGTATAGTCGGCCAGTCCTTTTCAAAGATCAACGCCAAAATCCAGACAAGCGTCGCGTGGTTGAGCTATGTCGGCCTATCCTGTTACACTAAAGTGTGAAACACAGTACATGGGCACTGTGAAATAAAATAGGTGTCAGGATGGCAAGTGTTTAATCTCCCTGTGCAAGTGTGACTGTGTTGGCGCTCCTCCAACCGTTCCACCTAGTGCCATCTATATACAGTAAACACAGGTAGCGCACGGCACTGGAGGCAGCCCGGTTGTCTTGTCGGAGCAGCTACACTCCAGACAAATCTGCAGCTCAGGGCACAGTGTCAGCTTAAATGGGTTTAACAGTTAGCCACGGATCTAAGGATCATAGTTGCATTCAAGAGAAATGCTTGGCAGTATAGGTACTATTGCTGATCTGATCATCTCTGTCTGCTTGAGTATCTGTGGTTGGCACTCTTCACCGTGCCTGCCTAGTGTCTCTTAGCGGGCCAGTAAATCTCAGAACAACGTGCTCACTGCATCATAAAGAGACATTACTTTAAACAAACTACGTGCACGACTGAACACAGATGGTTCTGCGTGTTTTAAAGAATACGTATGAGGGAGCTGATCAATCGTGTGCCAATTTCAAGTCACCAATTGCAATCGAGTCTGCAAAACACAATAAAGGCCCACAACTCCTGTTTTTACAGCCAGGAATAGGGAAACAGTTATGATTTAGTGCACAGGAAGCTCAATGATGACCAGCTGCACACATCAAAGTATATGAGCGCAAAGTAACGCTGGCCTAGGCCGAGTTACGTCAAACCTTTCAAAGCTTGTAATACCCCTTATCCTCTGACGAAGGTCTGATGACAAGCTGCTCCAGTCAATGACAAGCTGAGTGTGAAAAGTGAGCCCTGATGGACCTTTACCAGAGTACGATTACAGAAGGGGCTCTAAACAAACACAAGTGACATGAATCAACTGTGTGTTTTCGCGTGTGTGTGTGTGTGTGTGTGTGTGTGTGTGTGTATATGCTGGGAAGACGGTAGTAGGTCCCAGTTTTATGAATGGAAAGAGGGCATTTGTCATTTCTTCACCATATTTGGTCACGGTGCTGTACAGAGAGAAAGCTTTGTTTATGTAGCCAGGAATAAAATGTGGCAGGGAAGCCTGAGGCAGAAACAGTCCCACACTGCCTTCAAATAAAATGTATTGCCTATTTATAACAATTACTCATGGGTCTGTGGTTTATTGCTGCAGATGCGAGATCACCAGTGCAAAGTTTTTGTCTCACACAGCTAGCCGTGCAGCCAAAGCAGACACCAAGAGCCACATCCTTAAAGTTCAACATGACACCATGTAAGGGGGTGATGCTGGACTTCAGACTTTTAGCGATTATCTAAAGATTTCGACAAGAGAGGAATGCAGGCCACCGCTATCTGTGTCTGTGTGTGTGCAGGCCTGAGCAGCTACCACCATCAAGAGGCAGTGAAATGACAGGGGCCTTCTGAGGGCTAATCCCCCCCTCACGGCTAAAGTTAGCAAGCTAGCTGGTCTTCAAGCTTGACCCTTCTTGAGCTCCAATAAGACACGCAAACAGCTTTCTTTAATTCTATTTTTTTAAATGAGCAGCTTATCAATGAGCACCGTTTTCTAGTGTCTTAAAATGCCTTTTTTTAGTTTGTTTTTTTTGCCTGAGTACAACTGTCAAAGCTCCCCTTCCCCACCCCCTGGATGCTAAGACAACATTCTCGGGGTCTTTCTTGCTGCTAGCTACCTTAGCTTTACCTCAGAGGGCCCCCTTTTTAAAAACTCTTTATTTTTCTTGACACAAACATTCCTGTATGGCTGTTTTTTTTGCTGTTGAGGGGCGGAGTGCTTGCGGTGGGATATGTGGGAATGTGCGGGGGATGACGGACGGCCCTTCCCCTGCTTCACTGCCCGTTAAGACCTTTTTTTTTTGTATAACATGCTAGCTAGCTGCTACGCGGAGCCTCGAGGAAAACGTCTAAATAAAAAGATTTAAAATTAAGGGAAAAAAAACATGGCCGGAAGCCAAACGCCAGCCGGGACTCACCGCTCTCTAGCTCGTTGCCCTTCTTGGCGGTGGCAGCGTTCCCCATGGTGTGGAAGACACGGCGGTCGCTCCGACTGAGAAGAGATGGCGGCAGCTAGCTAACCTTCCAGCTTATGTTTTTTTTTCTTTACCCCCCTCTCTCTTAAAACAGGTGAATCGGCGCGGCTGCTGCTTGCTCGGTTCGCAGGTGAGGAAAACGGCGTCCCTTGTCCCTTCAAGGCGGCCCCCTCGCTCTCTCCCTCGGTCTCTCCCTCTCCTTCTTCCCTCCGAAAGCTCTCCGCTGCTGCTGCTGCTGCTGCTACTCGGCTGATGTCTGTGCGGCTGACATGAAGCTAGCGGTCACTGGTGCTTCTGACTAAGCTGCTCCCCCCTCCGCCCCGCCGCCACCACCACAACCCTCACCAGCTGCATTCACGGAGTGGTTCGGGCTCGGATTGGCCAGAGATGTCTCTGACAAGAACCCAGGCTCGCTTCCGCGTTGTTGTTGTTTTTTTTCCCCTTTCAAGCATCACAGTTACATTCACAGATATGAGGATGACACCTGAGTCCTTTTTTTTTTTTTTGAGGAATGCATCTCTCTTTGAATCATCTTGTTTCCAATCCAGCTGTTCTGAAACACAAACTTTTGCACAAACTGCAAACACATGTTATAATAAAATAATATGTAATGCAAATAGTATGCCAATAAACCCCCCATGGCAAAGGGTAGTAACATACAGTCGTCTTTAAATGTATTCATCCCCTTTCGTTAAAGAAAAGGCACAATTCACAACTCAAATAATTGGAAACTGGAAAAAGTAATAATAAATAAAAATTTGCTAAATTATAATTTAGTGAAATAAGATGTTGCTTTTGAATTGTGGTTGAAAAGAATGATTTAAAAAACTATCCAGGATAAATGAGAGCACTTTGCTGATGAGCAGTGAAATCAGAACACCTGTCAACAGGTGCTGAAGTCTGACTGAGAGTTACAGGAAACAAATACAATATTTGCTTTTTTAAAAAAAATATGAGTATTTCTGTTGAACCACGATTCAAAAGCAATGTCATGATTTTCATCAGATTTTTATTGATTATTACTTTTGTCAATTTCAACTTATTTCAGTGACTGATGTTTTTTTTCTTCTTTAATGGGAGGCTGTGAATACATCTGAGGACGACTGAATTCTAAAAAAATAAATAAGTTGGATTACAGTGAAATTAACTCATGTAAATATAGACATTTTGTGAAATACACATCAATTAGAATAGAATAGAAGATTTTTTATTGTCAGTGTCTCGATGTCTTTTATAGGTCTCTGTTTTTTTTGTGTTTTTTTTTTTTTTACATCTTTGTACAGTTTTGCTAGTTTCACAGTTTAGTTTAAAAAATTGCACTGAGCAGGATTGCGCTCAATTTCATTGTACTTTTTGTATTTTTTTGTATAAATGACATTAAAGATTCTGATTGTGTTTATATACACAATACATATCCGGGTCATACAGAGGAACTGAAAAGACGTCTCTCTCTCAGCTTGTATTAATGCTATACGTTTAAAGATTAAATATGTAAAAATCCACCAATGCACGCTGGTGGTAGTGCAGCGCAATTCAACCTAAAATATTCAGTTTGTCTTTTCAGAACACTGTAGAACTTACAAACATCAGTTGACTGATTTGAGGTCCTTTCATACTACTACTACTACTAATAATAATAGTAATGATAATAATAATAATACTTACATAGCACTTTTCAAGATACTCTCAGGTGCTTTACAAAGTAGGTCACAACAAAACAATCAAACAAAAATAATAATAACAAATAAATAAATACATAAAATTTAATAGGAAAGGAACGTAAAGAAAAAGCAGAATATTGAATTTTTTGCTAATCCGACAGAAAGCGTGCAGACAAACCAGCCTTTCTTTGCTCTCACTAAACTTTTCGTTGCCATTTTTGCAGTTGTTTTTAAGTCACCAGTTCAAGGTAATTTATGGATGTATAAAATCAGTTATTTTGACCTAAATATGTTGAATTAATGAGAGTCTGAACTTCCCAAAGAATCAAGTTTTGAAAGACTCAAAACCAGAATGCCTGCAGACTTCCCACCATTGTTTGAAAGTTCAATCTCTCCCGAGACTCTTGTTTTGTGCCACACCATTGTGCCCATTTTGTTCCCCTTTACATATTTATAAAAACAGTGCAAACCACAGAAACGGTTGGGGTTGAAGTCAGTCACTGCGCTCGTACACTTTATAAAACAGAATCAGTGGAAGCAACCTCACATGCTGTATCACACTAAAGGTTCCAACACTTGCATCATATAGTTCCTTGTGTCAAATAAAGACAGACTCCTTAAATAGAGACTTTAAACGAGAAAATAAAGCAGCAAGTTTGTCTATAATGATTATCTAAAGGACTACACAGCTGGTTTAATTTAATATCTTCAGTAGTTCTGCTGGTTTTACATTTCAAACTAATCAGATGATGTTGAAGTGATTATTCAACCTAACTTAACTGTTCACTGTATTTTTAAGGCAGCACGGGAACATGTGAGTTTAACTTAAACAAGCTTTAAATGATTTACAGCTCAGTCAGTGAGCAGTCGTGTCTTTTGTTGTCTTTCCTATCCCGGTTATTTTCCAGCATTGGTAAGTCGTGCTGCTGAATTCTGCCAGCTGATGCAACCATCGCTCTCATCTGGGTTCCCGATAGCTTCCAGCCCCACTAATTAGTGGGTCATTCCGCCTCAATACACCGAATGACCATCTTCAATTTGACTGATTTCTTTTTTTTTTTAAGTGTTGAATATTGACTGAGTTGGCCATGTGTAAAATGTGGGCTGGGCTCATTGATATGTACATACGGCCTTCAGTGGTACGACCCTGCTTTGGTGGAATAACACAAAGCCAGTTATATGGTGGCGTAAATGTGATTAACAAAAAAAGATTAAGTGTTTCTGTCTGCTCTGATTTTCAACCAACCATAAATGCTGTGTCTGTGATTGGCACCAAGATGAACTTTAAACATGCAGAGTGTGGTGTCAGTCAGAGGCTTAGTTTACGAGGATTTTAATTGTGGTTTTAGTGCATTTATGGCCGATATTCGGACGAGCACTCAGCAAGTGTGATAGGGTTGCACCATTAAAGATGTACATATCAGTGAACCTACAACATTTTAGGGCTCTGTCGACGTTATTTCTGAAGTTATGACACTTCAAACATTGCTCCACAGATTGGTGCAAAGAAAACAAAAATTAACATAACTCAAGTACATCCATCCATCATCTATATACCACTTAATCCTCACTAGGGTCATGGGGGGCTGGAGTCTATCCCAGCTGACTCAGGGTGAAGGCAGGTTCACCTGGACAGGTAACCAGTCTATCACAGGGCTACACTTAGAGACAGACAACCAAGCACACTCACATTCACACCTACGGACAATTTAGAATCACCAATTAACCTCAGCATGTTTCTGGACTGTGGGAGGAAGCCGGAGAACCCGGAGAGAACCCACGCTGCACAGGGAGAACACAGAAAGATCCCGGTGCCCCCACCGGGATGCCAACCGGCGACCTTCTTGCTGCGAGGCAACAGTACTACCAACTGTGCCACCTTGCAGCCCTACTTAATGACATGCATATAAAAAAAAAAGACATCTGACAAATATGAGATGGTTGTCGGGGATGATTTTTTTTTTTTTTTAATTTGGTGAAATGACCCACGTGTATGTCGCTGACTTGCGGCTAATTAAAAGCCTTTTGGGAATTCTGCGAGTTGCTAGCATATTGCTGGAGGTTCAGCTTTCCAATCCACACTCATATTCAGTCTGACAAGCTAAGAGCAGCTTGGATTTGCCTGCTGATGTTCCCTCTTCAGAGTGCTAGAGGTTCTGATCACGTCCTGGGGCTTGTTCACGTCTCAGTTTTTCCAGTCTTATTGTTTCAGAAGGTGAAGAAGCCGTAATGCTTCTGTGTGCCACTTGTGGAGCCCGGCTTCGAGTGGAGGATGGTAATGAGCGGTGTTCCAAGTGCGGGTCACTTTAGAAAAGACCTGGTATTAGGTGCAGTGTCTTGCCACTTTCTGTTAGACAGGAAAGGCTGTACAAGTTGGCTGTCTGGACACTCTGTGGTGCGGGAGCTCTGTTTCTGTCAGACAGCAGTGGAAGTGCAGTGGCAGGCCACATAATGAATGCAGTGGCCCTGAATGCAGACAAACAAGAGGTCAGGGTCTTCAAACTCTCTGTTTCAGCGCTGTGAAACTGCATTTAGTCCCTGGAAACATCTGTCACCGGAGCTGTCAAGCCAAGAAGATGAGCCAGAAGCTACAGACAGCTCGGAGGAAGAAGGGGAATGCTGCAGGTTGCTCTGGGTAAAACCGGCCTGGCACACGCCCTTTTGACAATCTCGTATTTTTCAGAGAACCCCCACAGCTCCATCCCCGTTGCTTGCATTTTTGGAGGAATTTAAGCCTCGCTGTGGTCCGAGGTCAGTGCACCCGCTTGTATGATGTTACAACAAACACAGAGAATGTGGTGATGCTGTAAATGATGCTGTGCCTAGCCAGCTGAAAAAGCACGATTCAACATACATTTGGTTCAGAAAAAAAAGATGACACTTTCAATATTATACAGCGTTAAGAAGACTTCTCATTTTAGATCCTGTGTTCAATCAGCATCCATCAGACATTCAATGCAGGTCAGTGGTTCACGCTTCTATGATTCTATTCCTCCACTATACCTGCGATTCGTTTGTTTTGCTTTACAAGGACGTGCATATTAGTTTGCAGTCCTTCCATTCAGCCTGTCCTTGGTTCTGTGCATCTTTACAACATGCATGAGGGCAGCTCTAACATAATTGCGCCTGAGGGCAAGAAGTGATCTTCCCTTAATCAAACACTGGTTTGTTTGCACCCCTTTGTTCCAGGGAGCAGAAATGTATACACACACGGTCCTCGCTTGCATCAAGTCTATGAATTGAAAGAGCTCTCTTCACCCAGTGCAGCAGAGCACTTTCATCCCGCTGCCTGTGGATTCAGTAGCAATGCTAGCCAACTTCTTTGCCTTTCTCAGGAGCAAGCATGTTCTTATTATTGTCACACCAGAGGCAGCCCCCTGGGGAACCGAGGCTGCACTCTCAGGTAGTACAAATGATTTGTGGTTGTTATGGGAGAGCTCAGGTCTTTGTTTCACACACAACCGATCGTCCTCTGTGGGTTTTCTGTGGCGGAGGCCAGCGCTCCACTGGGGGTGGATGCTCTCTCCAACGACTGACTGAGTGGTCTCCTCCTCTGCACATCGCCTCTGATTCCACGATAGCGTTCATGCTTCACTGGGTGAGATTGTCATCTCACACAGGCCTCCTGATGGCCCCCAGGTAGTCATCAAGGATATGGTTTCCCACATCCTCAGTCTGTTAGACAGGAACCCCCGGCAGCGTCCAATCAGGATGGACCTCTGGGTGTGGTCACTGATGGAGGTCAGCCAGCCTTAGCTGGCCTTGAGCCCTCGGTTTGGCAGACGTTCGGCAT